GTGCATAGCAAGGTGGTTCCCAATCTAGAGATCAAATATGTGTTAGTAGTCCAGGAGTTTTCAGAATGTTCCCGGATAGAGGTGGAAAAATAACCCGCCTGGCCTGACCCGACCCGCCAACAACCAAGCCCGCCTCTTGGCCAAAAAGGCTGGCCCAGCCTGACCTGCCAACCCTAACCTGGCAAGTTTTGGTGTAGGCCGAGCCAGGCTAGCCCATAATTTTTTTAATTTTTTAATTTTTTTTCTTTTGTGTAATTGTTTTTAGTTAACTTTTCAAATATCAATTATTCAACTGAATTAAATTTTTTTTTGTTAACATTTCAAATATTAATTCAATTTTAATACAATGAAATTGTAATATAAGAATTAGATTTATTCATTTATCAAAAAATAAAATAAGAAATAAGAAATTACAATAATTATTGCCTTATTAAAAACCTTACCAAGAAAAACCCAATTGGGACAAAAACTTGGCAAGGAAAAAAGAGTGCAATAATTGAAAATTAATTTACAAGTTACAATTTACAAAATAACTAATTTGGGGGTTGACTAGGACCTCCCTCATCCGTATCATCTATATTACAAAATTGAAATGATTCTATTAAAGTATCGTCTATAACCTCTTTTTGATCTTTATTTCTTGACTATTCCCAATCTCGAAGACATGTGAGGACTTCAATCATTTTTTGTGAAAGTTTAGTCCTCCTTTCATTTAAAGTTCTTCCACTTACAATAAATATTTGTTCGGATGAGACGATTGAGACAAGAATAGAGAAAACATCTAGGGCAAGTCTTGATAATATCAGAAAAATATATTTTCTGGTTTTTCAATATTCTAAGACATCAAAGTTAGCTCTTTGTTGTGGATCTACTAGTAACACTTCAAGAGTTCCCAAATATCAGTGAAGTTCATTACTCTGTAGCTGTATAGAGGACAATACATTTGTTGTTGGTGCTTCTGAAGAGGAGGCTTTGCTTCAGGTTTCGGTCCTTTTCGGCCTATTAAGTGCACTCCAGGAGTCAAAGTCTTCATTTGTTTCTTCTGATACTACTTCCTCGAATATTTCGCCTCTTTGCTGGTTCTCATACCTATTTTCATGTTGCAAATATACCTCTGCAAGACACTCTCTTACCTCTCCTAGTTGATTGGCATATGCTTCATCTTGTAAATTTTTAGTTAATGTGTCTAAACCATTTTCTAAACGTGCTAATTTAATTCTAGGATCCAATATAGCAGCTAAACAATAAAGAAAATGAATGGGTTTCCAATATTTTTTAAATTTTAATTCCATTGTCTGTATTGGTCCCACTAAAATTTCATTGTTTCTGTTTCTTTCTAAATAAATCTAAAATTTCTATAATTGTATGTATTATCAACGGACTAATAGAATAATACACACCAGAAAGTTGTAAAGTGGATTGGTAAAAAATTTTAAGAAAATAATGAATTTTTTTAGCTATATGCCAATCATTTTCTACCAAATAACGAGGACCTCTATTATTGCTACGAAATAACTAATTGAATTTGCATAAGGTAAACATGAATCAAGTATTAAATAAGTACTATTCCATCTAACAGGCATGTCTAATGCAAAAGTTCTAGGAGACATATATGATTTTATACAAGCATCTTGAAATTCAGCATTTCTTCTATTACTACTAGTAATCCAAGCTGAAGAATCCCTAATTCTATCAATATTATTTCTAATTTTTTTCATACCACTTTTCACAATTAAATTAATAATGTGACATGCACTACATTGGTGAAAAACCTTCAAGTTGTCATAAAAAGGAAAATTAATTTTAAAAAAATCTATAGCTCTACTATTAGCACTTGCATTATCTAAAGTTAAACTTATCACTTTATGAACAACATCATAATCTTCTAAAACTTCAACAATTTTATTATAAATTTGTTGACCACTATAATCCACATCCATTAATCTAAATCCCAATAAAGATTTATTTAATTAACATTCGTTATCAAAATAATGACTAATCACACAAATATAATCTTGTTTAGCTCTACCACTCCAAATACCGACGGTTTGAGCCACAGTAACATGACAACTATGCATTTTACTTTTTAATTCTAATTTCATTTTCCCAAACAATTTTATTAAATCATTTTTAGTTGCAGTTTTAGAATAACTTTTAAATCCTAAAAAAAAATAATTTTTTAATAAATCTTTCAAAATATTTATTTTCAACTATATTAATAGGTTGATCAGTTGCAGCAATATATAAAGCTAATTGTTCCCTATATACATCAGAATTATAACGTCAAGTAGTACCCATATTAGTTATTTGAGTTTGATTGGTTTTTGTATTTCTATGTTGAGTAATATGTTTATTAGCATGCATTTTCAAAGTACTAGTACCATTACCTGCATCAGCTTTATAAATATTTCCACAATACTTGCATCTTGCTTTCTTCACTTGAACTCCATTTTCTGTCTTATAAAACTTATCGAAATGCACCCAAACGTCTGATGTGTGCCTATCGTAGGTTTCGACAACAGTTGATGAACCCGCTTTTGCTTGAGATGAAGTTGGACGAGGACGACTTCTAGAACCACCAGGAGTTGTAGCAGCATGGGGAGGAAGGGGGACAATATTATGAGGTGTATCGGATTATGAGAATGGGCAAGCGGGACTATTTGAATCTACTACATTTATGTTAGTAAATTCAGGGGGACTATAATAGTTTCCTTCATCATCGAAATTGATGGGATGGAAATACCTATCCATTGTAGTTAAAAAAAAAATGAATACAGAAGAAATAAAAAATTAAAGAAGGAAAATTGGAATTTGGAAATATGAATTGAAAATTGCAAAAGCCAATAAAAATTAAAATGAGAGCAAGTTGACAACAAAGAGAATAATTGAGAGATTTTAATAGAGATTAGAGAAAATGAGAGAATGAGAGAATTTGGTATGTGAGAAAATATGAGAGTTTGGCCCTATTTGAGAGTTTAGGGCCAATTTATAGAAAAAAAAAGGAAAAAAAATGACGAAAAAAGACCCCTCCAACTGCTATATTTCAAGGGTAAAATGGGTATTTGTATAAAAAAAAAAATTCGTCCAACCGACGGGTTTGCCGTTGGGCTTGCAATGGCTAACCTGGCAGGTTGAAAACTCCCAACCTGGCGAGTTGGAGGTTTTTTTTTTTAAATATATATATATAACTAGCCGAGTTGTCGGGTTGACATATGAAAACCTGGCCCACCCGAAGGGGTATATACGAGTTGGGGTGAACCCGGCCTGCCTTTTAGGCGGTCTAGGTTGAACCCGGTTTGATGTGGGTCGAGTTAGGGTTGACCCGCCTAACCCGGCCCATTCTCTCCACCTCTATTCCCTGATAAGTTATCGAATTTGATTCCCAGAGAGAGAGATGGAGTTTAACAGTAAATTGGCACTAAGGATAGCATCAATTTCTAAGGCTCCGTACTAAGTGGCCCAAGTAGAACTCTAGAAATTAAAGGAGTATTTCTAATAATCTTCTAAGCAAGGGCTCCCTCTAACCCAGTCAATCTCCCTAGGGTACACCAATCTTATTTAGTGGAAATAAATAAATAATAATGGATCACTCCAGATATGTATAGACTCCCCAAAAGCAGAATAAGATGATGAGGAAATAATCAAATTTTCATAGCTTCATATGGATAAATAGAATTGGTGCCAAAATTTAGAAGAATAATTAGTTGACAAGTGATGACACAAGATAATAAGTTGGGAGTGCAGAAGAGATATATTACTCTATGAGTGACCAATATATATACACACACCAAACAACAACCAGTATCATAAATCTAGTGGTTTTTACATTTGCGAAACAGTAGAGGGAGTAAACTGATATTTTTAAAAATGCATAATTGCGTCTGAGAGGCAAATGACATACGTTTCCAAGCCAAACGACATGTCGTCTCTTCGGATAACTAATGTCATCTTGACAATATTAGTTGACCCCCTATGTATTGGGAAATATCTTAAAAACCTTATTTATGATTCTCTCGTAGACCTAAATGATATTTACCATTAACTACAACTGATATCTAATTTTAGATCATACTAATTTATGATAAGATTTTAACAAACAATTAATCCTTAAAATTGAAATAGCAACTCAATATTGTGATCAAATTTGATACAAAACCATTTTGCAGACTATCCTAATAATTTGTCACATTATCTACAGTAATTTCATTTACCTCTAATTTTAAATCATCCAATCATATAATAACATATTAATGTGTACAAATTATAGTATTTTTATAGTTTAATCATATTACAACATATTAATTTATACAAATCATAACATTTAATAGTTTTAGAAAATCATTAAAACTTTTAAAATTGAAGCATAGAAGAAATGAATGAAATTAATACTATATAAAACTATGTATGTCATGGAACACATTAATACTCTGAGACAAACTACCTTTGGGTGATTGAGTAGTTCAATAGGGACTCTTGGATGTATTACTCAAGAGATCATGAGTTCGAGTCTTTTTTTGGTTACTAATAGGGGTAACTACTGGAAATCTTATCTGATCATAGTTTCAAAGTCCCTAAAAATTAATTGAAGTACGTATAAGCTAATCCGTACACCTCCTATCATAAAAATAATAATAATAATAATTAAAACAAAAAGATATTTCAAGACATGCCGCCATATGACACATAACCAAGATTGATGGCCGAATTTAATTGGCTAAATTGGGAGGCATACAACTACTATTGATAGTGGGGGTTCTTCGTAATTGTACATAATATTTAACTTCTAAAACTTCACATTTTCAACCTATTTCAATTTCTCTTTTATATATAACTTCTGGAAGACTGGAACGGGAAGTAGTGTAATGTAATATATAAATACAACTAGGGTATTTCTGTAAGTTACTTATTATGGAAGAAGTACCAAAAGGAATCTGCTTCTCTTGCGTCTCTCTCTTCAGTCTTAACAATCTCGTAATTTATCCTCTTCAGTTCCATAGTCAATGGCTTCACATGACCATAATCATCATGATCATCACCATCACGATCATACCCATCAGTAATCTTTATAAAATTTGATTATTTCTTTTATTGGTTGAGTATTATTTCTGTACTATGATGAACTTACTAACTGTTTTCATGAATCGAACATTTTGAAGTGATGGAGATTCAGCTACGAAATCATGGGTAGGTCCAGATGGGAGAGTGTACCATAGCCACGATGGACTCGCACCACACTCACATGAACCCATTTACTCTCCTGGTTTCTTCAGTAGAAGAGCTTCTCCTCTTCTATCCAGAGACTTCAATGAGAGAGCCTTCACTGTTGGTATTGGTGGTCCTGTTGGTACCGGGTATTTTCACCATTCTCTCTAAATTTTTATTTTAAGTTCTAAATGTAATTTGCTAGTTCATTTTTATTTTTATTGAACAAGGGTTACATTTTTGTCCTTAAATTTTATTTATAATTATATGAATGCATAGTGGTTTTGGCATCTGGAATTATCTGGTTTAGGACACATTTTAGTATGCTTTGATTTGGGATTTCTGTACTGTCCGAATGTGTCCCATTTTCATGTGTATTATAATTCTTGTTATTGGCTCATATAAACTAAATGAATTGGTGTTGATGGAGCATTTGGTTACTGCCTTACAGGAAAACAGCTTTAATGCTGGCTTTATGTAAATTCTTACGGGACAACTACAGCCTTGCAGCTGTAAGTATCATCGACAATGAATTCTTGTCATTCCTTATAATCTTGAGTTTTTACCTCAGCCATCTCTCTGAAAATTTCATGTTTCGAATCACTGCCATTTCAAAATTTTCAAATTTTGGTCTTTCTTGTGCATAACCAGGTCAAGTTAACTCTGTTTACTGAGCCATTTCAAAAATTTCAAATTTGGGTCTTTCTAGTGCATAACCAGGTCAACTCTATGTACTGTGCCATTAGGAGTGTTAAGAAAGTGTTTCATATGACACAGATTTATAGATGGTGATGGTATTTTATGTTTCATGCTTTTCAGTTATGCATTTATTTTTTCTCATAATAATTGGTTACTCATCCTATTAACCTGCTTTTTATTAGATTCAAAGTTTTAAAAAAAAAAAAAAAATTTGAGAAAGTGACGGCAATGTGGTCTATAGATAATGACTTTGCCTCAATTTCCTTTAATTTGCCTAAACTTGAATCACACAACTTTATTACTCACAAAGATGTTTGTCCATAAAGGGGCGTTAGGAACCTCTAGCTTGTATTAAGTTGTATATCTAGTATGTTTCTATTTTTCAAATCTTGGTTTAATTAAAAGTACTCTCAATGGAAATTTCTGGCAGTGTGCCTGGATCCATAGTGGGAAAGTAAGCTCCATTTTCAACTCATAATGAATCCCCATCTACTGTCTTGGACTTAGCCTTAAATGACACAGACCAGCTTGCACTTAACTTCATTTCCTTGCACTTGAGAGGTGGATGAACTAGCGAATAATTCATGGTTCTGTATTCTCAAATTGAATGTCTCAGTAGCCAACAACCATTTCTTTCAGTCTTTGACTACACTCTCCTAAGAATTACCTTTACAATGGGTTAATTATCTTGTCTAATTATATGCTCTTTTTATTTCTTATTATTTAATGATTATCTAAGTAGAATGATGGATTAAGAGGAATATAATCACTTCAGGTGACAAATGATATATTCACAAAAGAGGATGGTGAGTTCCTGATGAAGAATGGTGCTCTTCCCGAGGAAAGGATACGTGCTGTGGAAACGGGAGGCTGTCCACACGCTGCAATTCGTGAAGATATCAGCATAAACCTTGGCCCGCTTGAGGAACTTTCTAACTTGTTCAAAGCAGACATACTTCTTTGTGAATCCGGGGGAGGTGATTTAGTACAGAATGCATTTTCTCAATATGAATTTTCTCTTGAAGAGATCTTGCTAAAATCTAAATTAGACTGATAAAGTTGTTATCTTGATTTACCAATTGTAGAGGCCATCACAACAGAAATATACTGACTACACGTTGAAGAAGTTTGCTCTAGTAATAATGATATTGGGAAAATATGACAACTATTTTGGGAGCCTGTGGTTATCCAAATTCAGGCAATCTATTCTAACGAAAATTTCACTAGGGAAGAGAAGGCCCATGTTTGAAATTCAGAGCTAATGTGTAGTACTCATTGTATCTGTTAACAGTTAAAGTCTTATAATAAGTTGTGCATAATTTGTGATGCACAACTGCTGTCTCTACTGGAAGTGGATTACAACTAGAGAAGATTCAACTTTTATAAAGTTTTATGTCTGCAGATAATTTAGCTGCCAACTTTAGCAGGGAGCTGGCTGACTATATCATTTATATAATCGATGTATCTGGTGGTGATAAAATTCCTCGGAAAGGTGGCCCAGGCATCACCCAAGCTGATCTTTTAGTATGTAGCTTAATATTTGTAATTGCTTAGTATTTTAGTTGATGTTGTTTTGTCTGGAAGTTAATGTGAATGATTTGTTGCATTTGGTTGTAGGTGATAAACAAGACTGACCTGGCACCAGCAGTCGGAGCTGACTTAGCAGTAATGGAGCGTGACGCACTCAAGATGCGTGATGGAGGGCCTTTTGTCTTTGCGCAGGTTAGTTGAGGCAGTATTTGCATTTGCTTGATTTAAGCATGAAAGAACCTGGTGTTTTCTGACCTGTGGAAGTAACTCAATTACAAAAAATGAAGAAGTTATTTTTAATCTGTTTACTTGAACATACAAATTTTTAATCTCTTTTTTCCTGCAGAAAAGATTTTAACAATCTGTTTGCTACAAATGCTTTATGTAAATGTTTTCATTACCCTATGGTATTTTTCATCTATCTATACGAACAGAAACCTGTTTATAAATTTCCCACAAAGTTCCTGCCTTACCCCATGACATGAAATTATTGTTGTTAAACATGAAAATTTTCTTTCTTTCGGGCTGTAACCTGCTATTGGGAATTTCAAACTATTTTGTCTCTGGATGATTTATGTGAATTTTTCGTATACAGGTCAAGCATGGGCTTGGTGTGGAGGAAATAGTGAACCACATTCTACAGGGTTGGGAAGCAGCAACTGGGAAGAAGCGGCGTTGATGTTTCCTCTGTAATATCATTTTGGTTTATACTTAAATCGTATTTCAGTGTAACCTCCTGGCATTGTTTCATCTTGCAATCTGTAAACCAGCATGTAGCAATAAATGTCGCATCTCATGGCTTTCTTTCTGAATATGCAGATATGAATCGTTTAATTAATGATTAATATCATCCCAGAACCCAATTGAATTTAGATTCTCTCTACATGCTTTGAAAATTAAATGATTTCAGTGCCTCAGGATCAGGTTTCTTGTGTTCAAATCCTATTTTCATTTACAAATTTTCAACTAGTCAGAGAGTTGATTGATCACTACAATTTTAATTTTCTCAGTCAGCCAATTTTAATTTGGTCATTGATCTGATAACAGATACTGACACATCTAGATAACATTTAATGTTAACATTATTTCTATGCTTTAGTTTGATAGGATAACAAATGATGAAATGATTTGATTGCACGGTAAATATAATGTCGACAGGTAGCGATTTTGTAGAATCTTTGTTTGTTGGGTAACCATGATGTTTTGTTAGAGGTCAATCTTGGTTGGTGTATGAAAGGCTAATTAGTTGGTTCTAAATTACGATTTCGATCACTGTCAACATAATGAAAAGTCTTTGGGTCACACACATTAAAGATAGTTTAAGATGAATGGGTAATTTCGTCTTTTAGATAAAATGGGTATTTTGATTATTTTGTTATGCAATTGAATTTGTTGGAGTTGTTGCCCGTATTCAATGTTTATCCCTTACCATATAAAGAAAAGGAAAAGGAAAAATAAATGAGTTTATTATTTTTCATTAACCTTGGCCGCCCAAAGCAAATTGAGAGAATTTGTCTTTCAATTATTCATTCAACCTTTGGCTTTGAGTAATCAATCAGTCTAGCAATCTCTTTGATTGTGGATTGTTGTTCCTCCCTTTGTGCAGACTTCATTGGTTCGATTCTTTTTTTTGAATCGGACTGCAAAGAAATTGTGTTTTGATGAACAGTACAGTAAATAGTGATAGTAAACAGTGATGCAAACAGTGCCAGCAAATGGTGATGGTGAACAGTATCAAAAATTAAACGTAAAGGAACCTCCAAATGTTGGTATATAATTAATCCTTGAATGGGTTTAACGCATGTAAATAAAATAATCAATTCCCAGATTCGTTGGTTTAACAGGTTTAATCGAAAAATTTTATTTTTCGACTGCTGCATTTTCTATCAATGAAATCCTAACAGTTATATCTAGAGGTTCTTTTTCTAGTACCATTAATTGACTTAAAATGCATAAATGATTTGTTTTTTATTCGAATACACCGATTTCCCGAGTTCTTGATTAATTTGACGTTTTGGTCCTTTAATTTGATATTTGCTGAGAGCCACCTTCCTTGGTTTTTGAATTAGAAAAAACTAATCTGCCTTTATGTTCCCTCATCCATCAATTCTCCAAATTTTCAATTCTCAAAATACTTGATATTGACAAATATCTAGAGAGACATTTAAGGAATTGGTCCGGATTCATTCTTTATTATTTATCATTAATCCCGCTTTGGACCGACAATGGATCGACGGAACAATATAAAACCGCCAGTCCGACCGGCCCGGGGCTTAAAATGGTTTGCTATTTTTTTATATCTAATCCTAAAAAATTCATATTCTTACTTTCTAAATCAATTTGCAGCACCGTTTTATTCTCCATTTCATTTGAATAAAAAAACCAAATTGCATCTTCCATTTCATCTTTTATTTTTCTTCACTTACTCTAAAATCTACCGTGTAAAGAAGAAGAAGTAAGGGGAGGGGAAGGAAGAAGAAAGAGTAGAGGAGATAAAAGAAAGAGTAAGAAAGAAGATTAAAAGAAAGAAAAGAGGAGATAAAGAGAAAGAGAAGGATAGAAGAAAAGAGGGAGAGAAAAATTACAGTAGAGAGACGTGAATGTGTTAGAAGAAAGAAGAAAGTGACAGAAAAGGAGAAAGAAGAAGTGATGGGGAGAGAGAGAGGGAGAGAGAGAAAAGAAAGAAAGAAAGTGACGGGGAGTGATGGGGAGAGAGAGAGAGAGAGAGAAGAGAGAGAGAGAGGAGAGAAAATGAGAAAAAAGAAAGTGATGGGGGTGATGGCATGACAGAGAGAGAGAGAAAAAAATAATTAATAATAAAATTTGTAGAGTGCATTTGCTTTAATTTAAACTTAAAGAGCTTATAGGTAAGAGATGTATTTGCTGGTTTTCAAACTTATAAAATTAATGGAACTGTTTAAAGATTGATTGCTATATACTGGTCAAACCGACCGATTCATCGATTAGATCGGTCAACTCGTAAACTGACCTTTGTTCGGGTTAAAGAGCAGTCTGATCTTTAAAACAATGATATGTGTTACTATAAAAGAAAGGAAAAAGAGCAGTCTGATCTTTAAAACAATGATATGTCTTACATATAAAGAAAAGGAAAAGGAAAAATAAATGAGTTTATTATTTTTCATTAACCTGTGCCCAAAGCAAATTGAGAGAATTTTTCTTTCAATTTTTCATTCAACCTTTGGCTTTGAGTAATCAATCAGTCTAGCAATCTCTTTGATTGTGGATTGTTGTTCCTCCCTTTGTGCGGACTTCATTGGTTCGATTTTTCTTTTTGAATGGACTTCATGGTCGATTAATTTGACGTTTTGGCCTTATTTGACATTTGGGGAGCCACCTCTTGGTTTTTGATTAGAAAAAACTAATCTGCCTTTATGTTCCCTCATCCATCAACTCTCCAATTTCAATTCTCAAAATATTTGATATTGACAAATATCTAGAGAGACATTTAGGAATTGGTCCGGATTCATTCTTATTATTTGGTTCACAAATTAAGAAAGCCTGAAGCATGATACTTATAATTTCAATGTGCATTTATGTAATTCTTTTAGCTGTTAAAGAACTCTTTTTATTGTCAGTCCATGGTACTTCCACTCTTCATTAATTACCAAAGATCGTTTCAATTTGGTATATGGATAATATTGAATATTTGATTTAATTAGTTTTGAAGGTTTAATAGTTTTAGCTTTTTAATTTACTGAAACCGTTGTTCGAGAGTAAAAGAATTCAAATTGGTAAGTAAGTAAATGAGTTATTATTAAGAATCTCTGGGAAACAATTATTTTATGCTGTCATTTATTAACGTGAACTTTGATACTTCGTTTGTTTATGTTTTCCTTGTGTTTCTTCGTAAATATAAAATTTATGCGGCACACATTTTTTTTTCATAAACGGAAAAAGGTAGTAAACATGTCAAAATAAATTAAAAAAATAAAAAAAATCACACAAAATACTATTTGCTCATCACCCTCTCCTCCCACACATATCAAAAAATCTCATTACAAATTAAAAGTTTTCTCACATCAGTTTCCCGATCAAACAAATTAAAGATTCCATAAAGTTTACGAGACAAATAAACTAAATACTGGTAATTACAAGTTTCATATTTTGAAAGACAAAAATATTACTTCACGACGTGGTTATGTGTGGCTCATTACAAGTAGTTAGAAAGTATTAGTTAGCTTTCTATTCAAAAACCAACATTCATTAACATTAAAATCATATTCTTTTTTTATTTATTATTTTTTATTCGTTAATCGTACTATGGTAAAACACGGTGTATAAATAAAGGGAGGATTGGGAGTGCAACTACAACCTCATACAAGTCATTCCATACAACACTGACCTGAATAACCTTCCTAAATCAAAATGGCTCTTATTGTCAGGTTCAATGCTTCACTAACTTTTAAAAGATTGCGCCTTTAAACAACTCCTTAGTTGGATCACCAGCAACATCGTTGTCGAGCGGTAGATCAGTGCTCAAATGTATGCTGCAACCAAAACGTCCGATGAAACCATTGTTAGACGATCAGCCAATACCCACCTTCATTTGGTCATGATTATGTTCAATCACTCACAGTAACTATGTGGTTATTTTTGTTGTCAATTAACTTTTATTGCTTACACGTATAGAAGCTATGGGTCGCATCTGTATTTATAAGTTATTAAAATAATTAGTTCTGAAAATGCAGGGAGAACCGTTTACCAAACGGGTTGAAAAGCTTAAGGAAGAAGTTAGGCTGATGCTTAATTCGGTGGATCCTTTACATCAACTAGAGCTCATCGATGACTTGGAAAGACTTGGAGTATCTTATCACTTTCGGGATGAAATAAAGAGAATCCTAGATAAGATACACAATAATAATTCCAAAAATTACAAGCAAAGAAAAGAAAGTTTACATGCAGTAGCCCTTGAATTCAGACTTTTAAGACAATATGGCTATGATATACCTACAGGTACATAATATATATCTATAACATACACAAAAAGTTGTAATTGGTATTCACTTATACACAGTTTTTCTACCAAATATAAAATTTATTGGATACATGAGATTCTTTTACAATGCTACATGATGGAAAAAGTAATTAATTTCCCTTTCATTCTTTCATCCTTTTTCCAGACATTTTCGACAATTTCAGGGATGAGAAAGGAAACTTCAGGTCATTCCTCAAAGATGATTGCAGAGGAATTTTGTCTATGTATGAAGCTGCACTTCTTTTGAAAGAAGGAGAGAATGCTATCTTTGATGATGTTAGAAATTTCACGACCACGTTCCTCAAGGAATATATGACAGAAAACAAAGATCAATATCTTTCTAGTCTAGTGAGCCATGAATTGGAGCTTCCACGGTATTGGAGGTTGCCAAGATTGGAGGCAAGGTGGTTCATAGATGTATATGAGACAAGACCTGACATGAACCGTATCGTGCTTGAGCTTGCTAAACTTGATTTTAACATGGTGCAAGCAACGCACCAAGAGGATATGAAGTCTGCATCAAGGTAAGAGGCTAGCTATAGCTAATTAAGGGCGGGTAAAGTTGTTGATTTAATATGTAAACATGAAAGTATGAAACTACAACATAAATTTAAATGAATTTAATAAACTAAAAATCATTGGAACTTCTTATATATCCTATACACATGATGATGTTCTTTTTCACATAAAGGAAGTGGAAGAAGATGGGTCTTGGAGATCAATTTAGTAGTTTTGCACGGGATAGCTGGATGGTTAGTTTCTTTTGGGCTGCGGGGATGCTTTCCGAACCTCAGTATGGATATTGTAGGAGTATGTCCGGAGTGGCCAATGCTTTGATTACAACTATGGATGATGTGTATGATGTTTATGGTACTG